GCGATAGTATGGAATTTATCTTAAAAAAACTGCTGTTAAAACCAATTAACATGGTAACATTAGATTTCAACATTCCTTACTTCGATTAAGCTCCTGTCTACGCTTTTAATTTATGTAAAAACGGAAGTCAGTTGTTACACGCTTTTAAGAAAGCTATAAGTGAATTTGTTAAAAATGAAAACTGTATTCTATTTTTAAAGGAATAATGGTGAAATTTTAAAACATCCCCGAGTGCGTATTATAAATTGGTTGCCTCGTTCCAACATTCCAGCACCGCCTTCTTTTTTTTAAATTGCTTTGGTAAATTGCCAGTAATTTGTTTTTTTAATGTTACAAGTTGTTTAAGTTTCATAGATTAAAGAGGTCTCTCGCTTTAAACTTATCGATGTCACCATTATGGTCATACCCGAATAATTTATATTATAATATTGAAACTATGTATATACGTAAAGTTCACGTCATATAAGTCAATTTTATGTAAATTAATTTACACTGATGTATTCCATATTGTATTGATATATATACATATATCTCGGATTCCAAATCTCTAACAACGACAGCACTATCCCCAAGATAAAAAGGCATGGCTAAAGATGCCATGACACGTTTAAGCAACATCTGGAAGAATAAAAAGAAAAGAAGATTTGGTATCAAAACCAAAATCAGACTGATACGGGCTCTAGTATTCCCTATCTTCCTTATCATATTACGGGCATACAATGCGCAGAGGCGATGAGAACTTGGAGAACCTGATCGTGGTGAACGGAAGGCGAAAGATCACGGGGCTGAACCAACCACATGGACGGATTAAGTGAAAGACTCATCGTCCTCAAAACTATACACTGTTATAAGAAAGGCGCTGGACAGAAACCGGTGGAAACATTCTCCGCTCCAAATGTTTCCTTGCTGACCATGACTCAGACATGAGCTACCGACTGAAGACAGATTTCTATATTATATTTATTTTAGTTAGTTACTAATAGTTAAATAAATTTTTACACATGACACTGATAATTACTATAAGATATAATTAAGTAATACGTCTCAAGTGTGAAAAATTCAAAAAAATAGTTCTTTATTCGTTGTTGAAGTTGGCAACACATTCTAATTTCTAAGTATATCACAATTCCGTTAAGTCAAATTAAAATATGCCTATCAAAATTTCAAATATAGAATAACAGAAAGCTTTTAAACGCAAGATTTTAATCATTAAGCAGCGTTTAAACTCTGTTGTCGAAACGCCACGAGAGGGCGTGGTCGCATGATGGATGTCTGCGCCTAAGATTGAATGTCGTACGTCACAAACCCTATTACCCAAGCATAAAGATATTTGTACTTGTATAAAGAAATATAAACTCTATTTTGTATGTAATAAGAGTTACAATGATGTAAAAATAAAATTGTAATATTAACTTTTGTTCCGACTGGTCCATTTGGTCGAGGAAAAGGTTAGGTAACTGAATATTAATGAAGGAAGTGGTTTTTGTGGTCTAATTAAACTGGTGAAATATTGTCTTGTACGATTGGCTTGTCATGAGCTTTTATGAGTTTTATCATTAAGTCTAGTAATAAATAAGTATCTGTTTCAATTGATTTTAATATATCTTTGTTTAATTAGAATTGTTTATTAAATGAGTATTGGAGATTTTTGGTGACGGTTTTCTAAATGTTTGCTTCATGTTTTTTATTATAAAGAGGTTTGTTTCATTACTTAAATCTAAAGACTTGTTTTTAACGGACAAACAATATCTACTATTCCAAAGAATGTCTACGTCAAATATTTAAATAAACAAGTATGAAATCACCAGGATGTTAAATCTAATAGGTTTATTATAAATATTTGCAAACGAACAGGAGGCTCATCTGATGTTAAGTGATAACGATAGACACATTTCTAGAGGGTTTTACGTTGCCGGCCTTTTAAGAATCGGATTGTCGAAGTCGAATTGGTTCGGAAATACATCGGTGGGAAGCTAGTTTCACATCGTGGTGGTGCGCGGCAAACACAGCTTTAAAAAACGCTGCCTCAGTGGTGTAGGACGGACGTCGAGGTTATACGGGTGGAATATCGTATTCTGCCTCAATGTCCGAAGATGATGAAGCTTATGATGAAGATTATTAGAGAACTAATATCTCCATTAAAATATGGTTTAGAGTTAAAAGGGTTATATATATATTATGTCGTTTAACTGTAACCAACTTAAATATAATTGCCAGTAAACAAGATCACTAAGTAAGTATTTTGTTTTGTTCTAGGTAAGCTGTGAACAGAAACCGTCTACTTCATGTTAGTCCATAGGAAATATTTTGAAAATGACTTTCCGTTGTGTGCCCACGTTTCAAGCAGTTTCGAACGATAGCAACGCCACATGGGTAAGTTGTATGGCTACTCGATCATAGATGTCGCTTTAATAAATAACATTTTGGTAGCTACTTCTTAAATTTAGTTTTAAATATTAATATTATTTTTAAACCAATTTTTATTAGAAGCTTTTTTAATAAAAATAAATAAGTATAGTATTGAATGATATATAGTGAATGAAATATTTTGTGTAAAGCGCCCTCTAGTTCGACTATACAATATGTTTAACTGATCTACGTTTCTTGATAGTACTGTTTATAGAATATAGAGAGCAGCAGTAGTTTCTACAAATGAGAAATTTTCATTTGATATTGAAAATTCCAACACAATAACAAATTTCTATGATTTTTAAATACGTATATACAATTTAACAAAATTTTAGACTATATTTGCCCTCGACGATAATCCTGTGTTTGTCAAAACTAGAGAGTAAATAAACTCTATGGTTTTGCATATAGAAACTACAGTACCGCATTTATCATACATATTAAATATACTTCAACTTTTTAAGACTACAATAAAAGCTTAAACCCACTCAACCTAAGACGAAACCGTTAAAATCAACAATGCCACCGATCAAATATACTAATGGCGCTATAAATTAAAACAGAGCCAAAACACTTAACCATCGTGTAGGTGTCACAAGTATTGACACTATTTGACATGCTTTTGACATGTCAATAAGGCATGAAGGGTCAAGATGGGTTCACAAAGCATCACGCTTATATTTAAAACATTGTATTGTTATTACGCTATATTGCGAACAGTTTTGCGCATTATTTCACAGGAAATTTTCCTAGGTATTTAGTTATACTTTTATTATAAATATATTATATCTTTATGTTAATAATTGCCTTAATTCCTTCAAAATTTGACAGCGCGTTATCAAACTTACAAAGAAGAAATAAATTAATATAAATAAATTATTATTTATATATGTATTATATAATACTTCGTTTAGTAAAACCGATAAATCATTTTGTACTTAAATTCACAACTTAAAATTTTAATAATTATCTCCTCACGCCAAGTGTTACCTACTTGCTAGGGCTGGCACCTTCGTTAGAATACCTAATTATTCAGTTTTCGAAATAATTAGGTATTCTAAAGCGTGTAGTTATTATTAGATATTTTTTTAAATAACCAGCTCTTCACTCTTCCTCGTAGTCTTCTTGGAATCTAGAATGCCATTTCTGAGAACAAAGTTGCCTTAGAATAAAAACATCTTAAATATCGCTTAGAAGCAGTGGCTGCACTGCGTGATGTACCCCCCCCGTACTATCATATTACCCACCACTATTAGTACTACTCGATGTTGTGACTGCGGCCTTTGGGCTGGTCAATGAGTGATTCAACTCTTTAGATTGGGTCCATAGCTTAACTTGACAGGTATTACTAAAAAAAACTAATTTACTTAACTAGACTCAGATTTGTGTATCTGTTTCGTGATATTTTTTTCTAATAGGTAATCAGTTCAGTGCCTGACACGCCATCAACTTTGTTGGATCTTATAATACGAGCGAGTTAAATGCGCACATACAAAGTCCTCAGAGGTTTAATACGTTTATTATAAACCTTACATTTTGACAACCCTAACACATTACATTCAAATTGGATGTATTAAGAGACGGTGTTATAGATTCGCGGACTTGGTCGAGTTTTTACGAATATGTAAAATATTACTAAGTACGTACTATCGTCTAAAGGCATTTTTTGTCTCGCAACACCACTATAGAACCAGTTTTCTCGTCTCTTGTCTTATGGTGAGTCGGGGGCCGGCGACACCCAAGTCTTATAAAATAAATATTCGTCTGATTGAATGAAATGAATTCATGTGCAAAATAAGAAACGTCGTATGTATTAAAAATAGTAAGTTTTGGCTAATAGAAGATATATTTTATCTTCTTTTTAGTAGATTATTTATCACTCAATCGTAAGTAGTACTTTTGGATGTAAACATGACACAAAGAAGAACTAGGCACCAATAATAAAACATTACATTAAACATTTTACTAACATCAAAAGCTGCAATAAAGAACTTTAAGAGCAGTAAAACCTTATCGGACAGCCGCGGCCAAAAGCTCCGAGAGCTTTCACCACTTCAAGTTTTGCGTGTACTATGAAAATCCAAATCAAGCAAGCACTCTGCAATGGGCCACTCCATGTGATAGCCTCGAGCGACGCACGCTCACGTGTGCCGCGACGCGGGAAATTTGAATATCGAATTCTTTTTATCGTTTAATTGAAAAAGTTTTTACTGTTTGTGTTTTGTGCCAGTGTTCTGTAATAGTACGTTGTTTATCTGTGCATAAATTGGAAGCAATTTCAAATATCAATAACGGGTAAACAATAACATCATTAGAGTGAGAGCAGTGTTAGATAAAGACAACAAAGTCATCTTGGAATAGAATTCTCACGTAATGATACAATAATCGTGTAAAAGTTCACGTTATTCAGTTTGTATTACGACCAGACTGTTTGAGCCTCATTTGAAACTAAATTAGATTCCATAAAAGATCACGACTCAGTGGTTGGAACGGTCACAGATAATGATCTGATGATTTACGCTGTGTTAAACCGACAATAGATTCTATACAATGTGACCAATTAGATTCGAGGCAAGGAATAAAAAGCGAAGATGACCAAAATTAACGAGGCGAATGTTAACATGATGGAGCAAAATTCAGTTAACGAAATTTGCTTCACAGATTTAAAAAAGAAAGACAAAATTGAAAAATCTAAAAATGATTTAAAAAGACATTCGATTTCAATTGAAGTCATAGACAAAGCTAGCATAGACAAAACAATTCGTCTGGAATTGAGAAACCCAGATAACGAATGTATAGTGAAAAAAATTAAAATTAATGACAAATCGGATGACAATCTATCGAAGTTTAACGATAGTTTGATAGAAAACTGTGATACGAATGGTGTTGAAGATTTTGAGTATTTGAACGGTGATGGGGATGTAAGTAGTATTCATTCTAGTTCATTTTTAACCCGACTAACTCATTCCGCTGGCTCTGTACTTTTTGGGTAG